GGTAGGATGTCGGGTGGGTTAATTCAGCAGCCATATCATGTCATTGATGTTTGGGTCCTTTGCATCTTGTGTCCCTTGATAGTGGTGCACAGGCATCTCATGGATATTGACCTGGCAAAGAAAAGAGAGTCATTTTTTCTTTATATTGGAATTCCATGACTTCTAATATATGTGTTGCCTGGTCCAGTGTGCTTATTTGTGTTAAATGCCTGTTCCTAACCCACTCACAAACAAAAAGTGGGATTAACATGACTGGCTTCTCCCATAGATGACAGAAGTTCTTGTCCTCAGGCAAGGAGATGGTGAACATCTGAACCATGAGAGAAAAGGGGGCATGGGTGATGGATCTATTGGTTCAGTAGCTAACAGTGCTCCTCACTGACTTTTTAGGTATAATAGCTTTAGTTTTAATATTAATATTTCTGTGCTTCATTATATTATTCAAGTATTAATTATTCTTGTCTTCATATTGACAGAGCTACCCTGGTATGCTTTTTATAAACAAAAATGTATCTTAAAGGAGAAAAATTTATCCTAGAGCATGGGTTTTTTTCTTATTCTTATACAACTAGAAAATATTGGGTCATTAATCCAAAAACTTTCACAAAAATGACCTTATTCATCTTAGTCTATTGCTATCAGTTATGCAGAGAATGTTTTACATTTTTGTATTACTTTATAGCAGAATTGAATGGAAATGGAAGTAGGCACTTGGGTTTTAAATGTGTTTTCTGCTTCTTCCTAAAATAAGAAATGAGAAAGTATTATTGCATACCTTTGTGATTTGTAATAGCTTTCCAAAGTTTTTATTTTATTTCATAATGGGTGTGTATCTCTGTGATAAGGTGCTTGCCTACTATTTGTTTCATCCTGAGTTTGATCCCAGCTTTAATTCAAGAAAAACTTCTGTGTAATCTAGTCTAGTGGTCAAGGACATAGACCGCAAGATGGCAAAGGAACTTAATTGAGTCATTGGAACCCATTTGGCAATGATATGACAGTAGGCCTCATCTGTAAAATGAAGAAAATAGTCATACAAGATATGATCAAAATACACAATATTTAAATTAAACTTATTTAAATTAAATATTTAAATTAAATTTATTTGTAGTAAATGACACATTGCCATTAGTTACCTCAACCTTGCTTTCAACACATTTATTCCATAGTTCTTGCCATTTTCTAAACCAGTTCTGGAAGTCGTCTTTCATGAGTGTCTTTATGAATTGTGATAAAAAGTTTAGTGAACGCCACTTCCAAGTGCCATACAACAGAAAGGCAGGCTAGTAAAGATTATAGTGTGTCTTTATCCACCTTACTCTCTGAATATAGCACCATGTGACATCTAGATCTTCCCAAAAGTCAAAATGACTACAAAAGTCATTGACTTTGAGTCAATTCAGAACATTGGAGCAGCTGTAACAGTGCCACAGAAAGCCCTCACTATAAAGGACTTCACAAACTGCTTCAGAAAGTGGCAAGAATGATAGAATAAAGGTATTCCAAGTGAAGGGGAGCATTTTGAGGGAGACAAATGGCAATATAACTTCACTATAATACATTTTTATTTAAACATTTGCTGTGTTTTTCTTTCACCTTGTACCTACTTCAAATACTTGCTGTAAAGTTTGAATAACATTACTTAATATGTGTATATACCACATATATTTATTCTTATAGCAACTAATACACAGAAATCATTCAGCAAAGTTGACTATTTTTACTTATTATAATGTTAATAAAAACCCATAAGTAGCCATATACATGATAGTTTAAAATCAAACTCACACCTTTCAGAAATAACAAATCTGAATAACAAAATATGAGGTCAGCCATGTAATTCATACTACAATTTTATAAAAAATCCTGTGCCTCCAAAGATTTTTTTCCTATTGGCTTGATGCAAGTCAACATTTAAAATCAGAGAGATGCCCTTACTATCTATAAACACAGAATTCTTCTGTCCATTCATCCAGTGAGGCAGCTGAAGGTAACAATCCACTTCCCATGAACCAGGAGGAAGCATATTAATATAGTGATCACTTCCTTGATTATTGTCCTGGAAAGCTGTATGGTGTCTGTACATGCTAAAATCACATGAAGTCAGAATGATCTTTGCATGTAAATATAGGAATCTATTCTTTAGCAGAAAAGAAGAGGGAGGAGGAGGAGGAAAAGTAAAAGAAAGAAGAAAAAAGAAAAACCTATTTCTCATAAAATATTTATAATTCCTTTTTTGTTTTTAAAATTTGTATATCCATGTTTTGCAATGGGAAAAATTTCAGTAATTATCTCATTTCAGAGAAATGGCTCACCAGCTTGAATCCTCGCTTACATTCTGTCAGCCGTATTTGTATGTAACTCTTAATTAACTAAGAAAAATCCTCCTGTGAGAGGACATGGCATAAGAATCCTACAATAACCACTTTAGGACTATAAGTTTATTTATGAATCTAGGTCTCTGTGTTGCGATCCAACTCTTATTTAAGTAAACTAGAATATTTTGGAAATATTTCCAGATATCTCAGCAGCAGTAAATACCAATATTTGAAGAGTTCAGAGGTAATTAAGCTTAAAGACTTCCTGACTTATGATAGGAAGTAAAGCACATACGTGATTTGAAGAGTTACAGGAATTCATGAATTGCGGAACCCACACCAGTTTTAACTACTGATGCCTGACATTCTCACATCAACACTTATTTCCTCCAGATACTTAGACAATGTATAGCCTTTTTATTATTTCAATTTCATTATAAATGAACAACTATTTAATTTTCACAGCACTGAAACTCTCTTTTTTCTTTTTACTATGTCTCCCTACGTAGTGACTCCCTTCTCTTGTCACTGCAGCTTGACTTTCTGAAAATGAAGGAAAGCATGACTGTCATTGATATTCTACTATGATATCCCAGTTAACTATACAGGACAAGACTGGCCTTCCCAGGTCCAGCGCCACACTTGTGGAGAAAAGCTCTGAGAGGCCTAGCAGGAGTAGATGAACGGGAGCAAAGAAGTTCAATACCATTTGGATCTGTTTGGATAAGGTGCCCAGTCCACCCGAGCCTACAATCTGTGTCATATTGTGCTAATATGTTGGTTCCAGTGGTTGAAAAACACTGGGTGTGGCATCCTCTGCAGAAGTGGTCCTGGCCTGACTTTCCCTAGATGCTTACTGCGTGGATATACTGGGAAGACAATGCAAAGAAATAGATGGTTCTGGCTTTCCTTTTGCAGCGAAGCCCGCTGTGGTTCCTGAGAATTCCCAGCTAAGAATGCTCACTTACTGTTAGAAAGTTCTAGATGGGCTTGGTGCTGCCCATGAAAGGAGCAAGCAGAGGGAGGGACGAGGGCACAGCAGTGAAGCATCGCCAACGTGATGCAGAGGGCTCTGGACCTCCCAGCTTTTTTTGGATTAAATCCTTATGCTTCTTCCAGCTGCTGCTCTCTTTTTTCCTGCCTTACACCTCTTTTTAATATTTTCTCCCATCATTTTAAAATGAAGTCCTTCTGTTTTACTTAGAAGACATTAGTCCTTTTCCAGAGAAGCTGTACAATACTTGAAAAAGAAAAAACTGAAGTAAGGCAGAGGTTTTCCCTTCAGAAAGGTGCTCGTGTAGGTATATTTTCTAGTTCTTTTTCTTAGAATGATGGAGTCTGAGGAGTAAAACAGACCTTGAGGGCCACCCAGCTTATCTTTTACTGCATTCATCCATCTAGTCTCTGCTATGTGATTATCCAGGCTGTTGATTATTTACCAAACCAGAACTTACCACTTTTCAGGAGAGACCATTCTATCTTTAGAGAAGTCTACTGAAGCTCTACTTCCATTTCACTCCAACTGGCCAAAAAATAATCTGTCCTTCCTCATTACTTCTACCTTTTGGTCCCAGTTCTACCTGGAAACAGAAAGTTCTAATATGGTATTTAATCCTTGCCTTTCAAGTTCATGTACATCATGTTTTTCCTTAAGGTCTTTCTCCAGGCTAAGCCACTATTCTTCCTATAACTTTTCTCTGTCATATAGGAATTCAAGTCCCTCTGTTAATCTGAGTGCTGTGTTGTAAAACTTTTACTTAATGTTCCTTCTTATCTCCTCCCACAAATAACCATGCAGAATCTTCCAGATGGGAAAAGATCAGCACAGAAAGAGCATAACTAATAACCCCTTTTAATATAGATACAGAACTTCTATTCAAGAAGAGCATATTTACCTTTTGGAAAGACCAAACCTATGCTTAGTCATTTTCATGATGAAAATTAAATAGTTGTTCATTTATAATGAAATTTAAATAATAGAAAGGCTATACATTTTCTAAGTATCTGGAGGAAATAAGTGTTGATGTGAGAATGTCAGGCATCAGTAGTTAAAAATGGTGTGGGTTCCGCAATTCATGAATTCCTGTAACTCTTCAAATCACATATGTGCTTTACTTCCTATCATAATACTAACGTGATCCAGTAAGTCAAAAATAGTGGAAAGAATAAATTCATATCACAGGATGGTTTGATTCTCTTCTGTATCATTATGAAGTTCATATACTTAATATATTTAATGATTTTATATCATAGTATACATAAATAAGAGAATGTAGGACAAGAAACCCAGAGGGAATCCCCTTCCAGGAGCTATTTAGAAACTTTAAGAAAAGTCCTTTGCTACCCTCACTGAAAGAAGCTCTGTATCAGAAAAGCAAGAGTTACCACATTAGATTTCATCACCTTGTCAGCCTCAAAAAGCCCAACTTCATCTATGTTATGTTTATATGTAGCAAGTTACCAAAGAGATCCTAGTTTCAGTATCATTTATTCCCCTTCTAAATATCGTGCTAATAAACAAAGAGTTTGTATCTTTAGGATTAAAGGAAAATGACTTGATCCTTGTGGTATACTGGATAATTGGGAAAACTTTAGGATTAGTTTGTTCTGTCCATATATAAATGCAGAATTACCTGTTTTCCAACTCCTGTACTTACATAAACTTTTTCATTTCTCCAACAGATTGTTTGGCTTTTACAAGGGAATTCTGCCACCCATCTTAGCAGAAACCCCCAAAAGAGCAGTAAAGGTAAGGACTGCACGCCTTCTCACTGAGGGAAAACATGGTGCAGTGATAGCATTAGCAGTAAAATACCATTCCCGCAAGTAAACAAGAAGACACTAAGGTGGCCTAAACATAAAACACTAGAATTTGTAATGCAAAAATTACAACATAATTTTTATTGTATTCAGGATTTGGTAAATATGCATATTGGCTTATAGATTTTTTTCAGGTAAAACTAATCCCTTTTAATGAGGAAATTATACAAAAGAACAGTGGTGAATGAAATTCATGTAATCAAGTCACAGAAGCCACAAAATAGTTTGGACCTTTTTCTCAAGACAATTCAGAAATTTTCCTTTGGAACAAAAATTGTTAAAGAGGAGAGGGAGAAAAATCTCCCTTCCTAAACTGTGAAATACCCTAAACGTCTTTCTATGTGATTATTGTATAGCATATTTATCTGGCTTGTGAACTTTATTTTGCCCTAGTCGCCTCTGTTAAAAATCTCTGTTAAATCCTAGTGCATACAGGATTATTATTTCCACTATCCTGATTTCCATTTCTTTATCCACATAACTATGAAGGTTTATGTATTCCTTGCTGGTTCAGTATCTGCAAAGGAACAGGGAAATGGGCCAGAACTTCCACAGATGGAAGAACTACATCTGCACGCTTTACATATGTTCTCAAACAGAAATCCTGATTACAGTGAGTCTGACTGGCAGTGCTCCCCCGCCCCTCCACACTGACAGCACCAAATATGGTTTTGTCTTTACACAAAAATAACAGACTCAACGACTTCCTTTCCAACTTTCTGTCATGTTATAATGACATAAAGCCTTTTTTCATATACATTACTCGATTTATATTCCCAATATTTCTAAAAGGCAAGAGGGAACAGCTTAAATTCTTTTACCGAGTAAGTCAAGGGCAGGAGGGTCTGGGCTGAAAATTATGGTGAGATAACCAACATGTATACACAAACACCAACTTTTTACATTACGTCAAATAGTAATTTAATAGAATATAGTTTAGGTCTAGTGTTCAGAAAGCAAACCTTTAAAACATACTTTCTCTATAAGTCTCTCCCTCTTTGTTGAGAAAGTTTTTGTGATTTTTATATTATTACTTCAGTACAAATTTCATTATAAGGGTCTGAGTCGTTGTAGAGAATCTGGAAAAGGTTCACCACAGTACACAAAAGGGCTGAATTGAATTATGAAATGGCTTCACTTGATAAAAGATTGCCTGAGTAAACAAACAGAACAGAGTTCTTGTTCAAAAGGAAAGTCACTTTGTCTCCGTGGAATAATATATTCATTTGTTCAGTGTTTAACATGTATAAATAAAGTAAATTATAATTAGTTTTTCCTGGAATATTTTTTTCCTTAATACTACATATTGGAGACAATTTAAACTATAAGAGGATTAAGGTTTATCAACATTGAAGAATCTTTTGCAGGAAAAAAAAGCTGAACTTTACAAAACTGAGTCTGCACACACACACACACACACACACACACACACACACACACACACGGCAACACTCTGCCAGAACAATGGTTAACAGATGAACTTTTGGGCAACTGGATATGGTGTGTGAGTCCCAGACATCTTGTTTCAAGTAGATTTTTACCTTAAAATTATTGAGACATATGGTAAGTGTGTTGCCTTTTTTAAGTGCAACTTGGAGTTAAATGTATCTTTGCCAGATGGATAGGGCTAGTTTTTCAACACAATGTATGAAAACATTCATTTTATAGATATTTATCTTAGGATTGTGAGGAAAGCAATACCTGATTCTGATGATTTCATACATCATAAACTGCTTTGTTGTCATCAAAGTTTACTTCAGGAGAAAAGTTCTGAGACCGTGTGCGTATGTGTGCATGAGTGTGTTGTGTATTTGTTGGTGTGGACCTTCAGTTATAACTGTTAGCATAATTCAAAACAGACTGTTTTAACTCTGTACTGTGTTCTTTGAGATAAGATTAATTGTTACAATAATAAGACTCATGGATGCTAAATACATGATGAAACTTCTCCTGTCACACATCAAGACAGAATTAGTATTACAGTTAGGGAAATAAAGACAAGACAGAGACCGACTGTGCCTCACAGATGGAATACACCATTTGCCAGGTTCCAAAGCCTAGTCTTGAACCTCGTGTGTCTAGAAATACCATTTTGCCGTGTTCCAGTTATAAAGGGCTGCCTTATGCTACCCAGACTCACGACAGATTTTAACTATGAAGATTATTTGTTCACTACTGTATATCTACACTTTTAAGGTGTCTATACACAGTAGGTGGTTCAGCTGAGTACATGAAACATGTGTGAAGAAAAAACAGAAAGAAAATCAGCAGAAAATGAAAGAGTAATTCCTGAGAGATGAGAAACAAATGAGATAAGCCACGTAATTTACTCCCTTGAGAATGTTTCCAGGCCTGACAGAGAAGGGAAGTAGAGGCAGAGCACAGTGGACTCCCTAGAGAAAGAAGGGGCTGAGAGGCCGGGGACACCAAGGCAGCTGAGCTCACAGGACCGAGTAGCAGGGCAGAGCAGGCTGCGTGGAGCGGACACCTGAGATCTGCAGAGACCCCTCAGGTATTTGGCGGGCTACTGACCGGTGAGCTCAAACAAGGCCTGGGAAAGAACCACCCAAGAGGAGCAAAGGAACTGTGCCTGGCAGTCGCGAAGGGCTGAAAATAGTTACCTAATACCTGCTGGCCAGCCTGGAAAACCTCGAAACTCAACAGGCATCTTGAGGAGTGCTCAGAAAGTTTTCCTTCAGGGGTGGAAAAAAGCTAACCCTGGACTGAGCACTCCTTAAACTCTACTTGTCAAACAGCCAAACCGCATCCCAGAACAGAGAATCTGGGACATCACGATGATCCTCAGATTGGTTACTGGGCACAGATTAAAGGAGAATCAGAGAACTGCGTCAACCAAGCAAAGTGTAGCCCTGTTCCCTGCCTTCCCACACTTGTCCATTAAATCCAGCCATATAATCAATTTCTAGATACACATTTAGGTAAGATACAGCATAAGTGATCTGTAGTCAATGTTCCTAAATTGTTGATTGAATATGGATGGATTAAAAATTGCATGATTTTGGAAGTAATTTCATGTTAATGCTCCAAATTCTATCCTTAGATTATAACCTCATATCTTATATGACAGGTCACTCTTCTCAATTTCTGCATTAACTAAATCTGTGACTGAGAAATTATTAAGAAATACCATGAAAGTCATAAAGGGATAGCATTATATGGAGAGGAATTATAATACTAACCATTAGTTTTTTAAGAATGTAATTCTAGCATAGTTTTCTAAACCTTAAACATGCTAGGTATACAATACAAAATGTAGATTTTTTTAATTGTAAAGAGAAAGAAAAAATAAAAATAAAACAGTTTCAAAAAGTTAGTAGGATAGTAACAATAATTAATATATTTCATATTGTCATCTTCATGTTAGTTATTCAGAGTACAAGATATAGACTAGAATTACTGTCCAAACATTAGCTCAAACCTTTCTTTTCAATGAACTAAGAGAAACTAGCTGTAAAACTATCTTAACTATCTTGTGTGTATATATGTATGTTTTTTCTTTTTCCTTCTTTCCTTTCCTATGGAAAAGAAATGAGATTCATCCCAGTGTTTCTTTTCTTTTGAACAGTTTCTTCACAATTCACATTATCTACTATATATTTTGGACCTTATTTACTTGTTCAGTCTCTCACACTAGTGAAAAAATACAATATTTACACAGGTGGGTCTGATTTATTTCACTTAGGAGTATACTCTCAAGTTGTATTCATTTAATATAAATGTCTCAAGTTTATCCTTCTTTGTAACTGAGTAGTACTCCATTATATAAAAATCTATTCCTCTTTTGATGGGCATTGGGTTGTTTCCAAGATAGCTAGTAGGAATTATGTTGCTATAGACATGTGTGCACATATATCACTGTGGCATGATGCTTTTAAGTCTTCTGAGAAAATACCCATAAGGAGAATAACTAGATCAAATAGAACCTCTATTGCTACTTTTTAAAGGACTATCCATGCTGATTTTCATAGTGATTGCACCAGTCTACACCCTCACCAAAAATGGAGAAATGTTCTTTTCCCCCATAGCCCTGCCTGCATTTGTTGTTGGTTGAGTTCTTGATGTTACTGGAGCCACTGAGATAGAATCTGTGTTGTTTTAATTTGCATCTCTCCTATGACCAGTGATGTTGTACATTTTCTCATGTAATTATTTTCCATTTGTGTTTCTTCATCTGAGATGTGTGTATTCATCTCAGATGCCCATTTCTGGATTAGATGTTTGAATTTTGGAGACATGATTTTTTTCAATTTTTTATATGTTCTAGATATAAAGACCGTATAACATCTCCAGGGTAGCTGGCTCTAATTTTTTCCCACACTGTGGATTGCTTTTCACTCTGTTGGTCATTTCTGTTGTTGTGCAGAAGTTTTTTTTTTTTTTTAAATAAGGTGAGATCCCATTTCTTGATTCTTTGTAGTATTTCTCATACAGGTTGGGTTTTGCTCATGAAGTTTGTGCCTTCAAGATTTCTTCTTCTTCTTTTCTTTTCCAGTAAATTTAGTGTTTCTGTTTCAATATTTAGATCTTTGATCCATTTTGACTTTAATTTTAGTGCATAGTGATAGGCATAGAACTAGTTTTAATCTGAAATGTGATAAGTCAGTTTTTCTAGCACCATTTATTAAAAAGACTTTTTCCCGTGAACATATTTGACTCCTTTGTCAAAGATAAGGATGCTGAGTATGTTTGGAGTTGTTTCTGCATCTATTGTTCTGTTTTACTGATCCTCATGCCTGTTTTTTTTTTCCAAAACCATGCTGATTTTATCACAGTAGCTTTGTTGTATAATTTCAGATCAGGGATTGTGATACCTCCTGCCTTGCCTTTGTTTCCCAGAATTGCTTTTTTGTTATTCTAGGTCTCTTCTGGTTCCAAATGAATTTTAGGAATATGTTCTCTAATTCTTTAAAGTATACTAATGGTATTTGATTGAAATTGCATTAAATCTAGGTAACAGTTTTAGGAGTAGGATCATTTTTGCTATGTTGTTTCTTCCTATCCATGAGCAAGGGATATCTTTCCATTTTCTGATGTCCTCTTCAATCTCCTTTTTCAGAGTACTATAATTTTCAAAGTATAGATCTTTTACTTCCTCTGTTAGATTGATTCCTAAGTATTTCAGTTTGTTGATTGTTATCCATCATAAAATGTGTGGCTTCCTTGATCTCTCTCTCTCTCTCTCTCTCTCTCTCTCTCTCTCTCTCTCTCTCTCTCTTTCTCTGAGTTTGTTTTTTGTGTCCAGGAATGCTATTGATATTTGAGCACTGACATTATATCCAGCTACACTACTGAATTTGGTTATTAAGTCTACAGGCATTTTGGCGAAGTTTTTGAGGTCTTCTATATGGACTACTTCACCCACACATGAAGATAATTTAACTTCTTGTTTTCCTATCCTTAATTCCTTTTATTTATCTCTCTTGTCTAATTACTCTGCCACCTATTCTGATTTTCTATAGAGTTTTTATCATAAATGAGTGTTGGGCTTTGTCAAATGCTTTTTCTGCTTCAACTGATATGATCACGTGATTTTTGTCTTTGGTTTTGTTCATATGGTGTATTGCATATATTGATTTGCATATACTGAACCTTCCCTGAATCCCTGGTATGAATGCTACTTGGTCATGGTGTTATAATCTTCTTGGTGGCTTGCTGCGTTCTGTTTGCTAGCATCTTATTGAAAACTTTTCTATCTATGTTCATTAAAGATATTGGTCCATAGTTTTCTTTTTTGGTTTGGTTTTTCTATTCTTTTGGAATCAGGAATAATACTTGCTACTAGGAATGGTTTTGGAAGTATTGCTTCCCTCTCAGTTTCCTCAAAGAGTTTCAGCATTATTGGCATTAACTCTTCTTTAAATGTCTTGTGAAATTTAACAGTGAATCCATCATGGCATGGCATTTTCCTTGTTGGTAAATTTTATATTATATTTTCAATTTTATTGACTGATATTGGGTTACTTAGAATTTTTGTATCTTTTTGATTTAGTTTTAGCAATTTGATTATGTCTAGGAATCTGTACATTTCTTCTGTATTTTCTATTTATTAGAATATAAGTTTCATAGTAGTAGCAATTTATTATGTCTAAAAATCTGTCCATTTCTTCTGTGTTTTCTGTTTATTAGAATATAAGTTCTCATAGTATTAGGTATTGATGATCAGGATTTCTGTAGGGTCTCTGCTTTGATTTTCCTCTTTTGATGCCTAATTGCTTGAATTTGTGTTTTTTCTTTCCTCTTTGTGATAAGATTAGTTAATTGTTTGTCAATTTTATTTATTCTTTCAAAGAACCAACGTTGCAATTTATTGATTCTTTATATTATTTTCTTAGTCTGGATTACATTCATTTCTATTCTGAACTTTGTAAGTTCCTCCCTCAAATGAGCTTGTGGTTTGATTTGTTATTTTTTCTAGAAGTTTGAAGTTCAACAGTAAGTTGTTTATTTGAGCTTGTCCTGTTTTCTCGATGTGAGAGTTCATTGTTATAAATTTCCCCATCAGACTACTTTCATAGTGTTACATAAGTTCCAGTAGATTATATTGGCAATATCATTTAATTGTGTATACTATTTAATTTTATCTTTAATTTCCTCTGTGACCCATTGGTTTTCCAGAAGACTGTTGTTAAAGTTCCAGGTATTTATGTAGTTTTTATAGTTTCTTTTGGTATTGATTTCCAGTTTCATTGTACTATGGTCAGATGATATGCATGGGATGATTTCAATTCCTCTACACTTACTAAAACATGTTTTGTGAGCTAATATGTTGTCTGGTTTGGAGAACATCCCACGTGCAGCTGAGAAGAATGTGTATTCTGATGTTCTGTACACATCTTCCAGGTCCATTTGATCACAGACTTGGTATAATTCTGATACTTCTTTGTTGATTTTTCTGTCTACTTGATCTATCTATTTGTGAGAGTGGAGTATTGAGGTCCCCCAGTACAGTTGTGTTAGTGCTTATTTGTTTTTTTTTTGTCTGTTGATATTTGTTTTATGTAATTCAGTGTACCAGTGTTTGGTGCATATATATTTATGACTATTATCTCTTCCTCTTGAAGTTTTCCCTTAACAAATATGTAGTGACCTTCTTGGTCTCTTTTGATCAGTTTTGTCCTAAAGTTTACATGGTCTTCAGATAGATTAGTTGCTTCTGCTTTTTTGTGTGTTCCTGTGGCATGGAAAATTGTTGTTTATCCTTTGACTTTTGTCTATGAATTTATTTTTTAGTTAAATGTGTTTCTTCCATGCAGCATATTGTTGAGTCTTGATCCACTGTGAAATCTCTTTCTTTTCATTGATGATTCAAGACCATTTACATTATGGTTATAACTGATATGTATTTATCTTTTTCATGTTATGTTTCTGTTATCGGTTACTAGTCACTCTCCTCTGTTTAATTGTTTGCCCTGCTTGGTGACTTCTTTCTACTGGTGTTCATGTGTTTGTGGTCTTCACTATCTCATTCTAATATGTCTTTCAGAACATTCTATAGAGCTGGTTTGGGAGTAATAAAGTTCAGTTGTTAGTCATCATGGAAGTATCTTATTTTTCTGTTGATTTTGAAAGATAATTTTGCATGGTAAATCAGTCTGGGCTAAAAAATGTTTTCTTTTAGGACTTGAAATACCTCACTCCAAGATCTCCTTGGTTTGAGGGCTTGTGTTGAGAAGTCTGTGATGATTCTGATGGATTTGCCATCATAGATGATTTGTTTCCTTTCTCTAGCCACTTATAAAATATTCTGATCTTGTGCTGCATTTCCAGAACTTTGACTATTATATGTATTGATGTAGTTTTATTTTGGTCATGGCTATTTGAAGTTGTATATGCTTCATTTATTTGACTGTCAAATTCTTTATCCATGTTTGGGAAGTTTTTTGCCATTATTTCCATGAAGAGGGTTTTCTTTTTATATCTTCTGCAGTTTCTGGCTTTGTCACTGACTGCAATCAATCTTAAATTGTTCTTCTTTGCCTCATTTTGTAGCTGTTGGATTGATTTTTCATAGTCTCTTGCTATTTTTAAAGTATTTTTCTTTTTATGGTTGCTAGCCACCATCCTGTCTTCTAGATATGATATTCCATCTTCACCTTCATGTCTGTTATATATACTTTCAATGGAGTTTTTAATCTCCTGGACTTCTGTTTGTACATGCTTACCAGGCAGGCACTTGTGCCACTGAACTAAATTCCAGACCCCTAGTGTCGTTCATTTTGATCGTTATTTCTTTTTGCACGTTAGTTTTTTTTTTCTGTAGCCTCTTCCATTTGTTTTTTCACTTTTGCTGCTTTTATTTCAGAAAGTTCCAGTGGCTGGCTTCTGATTTCTCTATCCCATCTTACACCAATAAGAACGACTATCATTATCAACTCAAAAAAAATGTTAGCAATGCTAAGAGGAAAAAGTAACCCTTCTGTATTGTTAGTGAGAATGTAAACTAGCACAACTACTATGGAAATCAGTGTAGAGAACCCTAAAAAAACTAAAAATAGAAATTCCAATTGGCCCAGCATTTCTTTTTCTGGGTATCTTCCCCTAAACAGTTAAAGTCATTTTTCTATAGTGATATATATATATATATATATATATATATATATATATGCACAATTCACAGTAGTTAAATTATGGAAGTGGCCTATATACCCATGGATAAGGAATATATATATATATATATATATATATATATAGAGAGAGAGAGAGAGAGAGAGAGAGAGATCATATATAAATATGGTATATAATGGAGTACTACTCAGCCTTAAAGTATAAATTGGGGTCATTTGTAGAAAAATGGATGGATTTTAAGTCTATAATGCTAAGTGAAATAAAATAGAAGTGAATAAATATTGCATGGTTTCATCTATATAAGAAACGCAAAATATGAAAAACTTGAGCAAAATAAAATAAAAATTGGTAAGAAAGCAGGGAGATAGACATTGTAGAGATGGGAAGGGGATCTGGTGAAGAGTAATGGAGAGTGGGGGACAGAGGTAAAAATGATCCAGAGGCAATATGTATATGTACCTAATCCCCAAGATGAATGTAATTGCTGTGTATTGCAAAAATATACCAACGATGAGAACATCTCCTGATGGAATTAATGGTATCTTTGTTATCTCGGTCATCATCAGATTTTAAAGAAAGGAGTAAGCAGTGCTCTCTTGATTTAGATCAAGGACAATCTTACTTTAAAGAAAGGCATGGACTAGATAACCTCTCTGGGTCTTTCCCTAGTTTATTATGGCACCTTCAAGTCATTGAGTGTTTAAATTCCATGCAACAGTTAGTAGACACAGCAATATAAATGCAAGTTAAAACTGAGAAATGAATGTCTTTTACAAGTGTGTAAGAAAATTGGGCATTTTCTGGAAAAGCTGTTCATAGGGAAAACATAGAAGACCAAAGATTTTAGGTCTGTGTGCCTACAATTTTGAATCATTGCCATAAAAAAGAAGTCTATTGATGTCTGGGGAAACTGAAAATGGTCATGGTAAATGGAAGTTGTATGGTTCATTTACTGCTATAAAGGATTCCATCAGCTCTTCTGTAGGTTATTATAACTGAATTTGAAAAATGTGAATGTTAAAATAAGATCCAAAGGCAACTACCCAAGACAGGGTTTATAACAATGTTAGATGGTTTATCATTTTTTAAAATGCTGGTTAATACATGGTTTAGTAAAGAAATCTCTGTCAATTAAAGAGTTTGCTGCAAGAAATTGCTATAAATCTCTGGGTTTGGTTTTGTTTCACAGTTTTTCACCTTTGAACAGTACAAGAAATTGCTAGGATATGTGTCACTGTCACCAGGATTGGTAAGTGAGAATATTTATTATACTTAAGTGTGTGTGTGTTATTTCATAAAGCAAAATCTAGAAACAAAAACCCTTTTGACTCCCAAAACTCAGCTACTAAAATATGAATTTGAGTTATTCAATGTTCAGCTACTTGTTGAAAGCCATCTTCCTAATAACTCACAATTTGGCTATTTTATAGCTCCCGGTGATGAATTTATGATAATAACAATATGTCTGGAAAGTCCTATATGAGATATAATCAAGAACATGAAATAAAGAATACATTTATCAAAGATTCACTTAAAAGCAAAACATGCATATGTTTACATATACACTGCCTATATCTATTTATGCAAAAGTCAGTATGCTTGAGAGTATTTCCCAACAGGTCACTTTTCCAGCTGTGTTGCTCAAGCCTTAGTAAATAAAGACTTTAAGTCACCTGGGATAAAATCACTCTGTGGTAAGGCACAGACTGAAGGGCCTTTTATAGGAATGATTGTAAACAACTCAGCTAGGGAGAACAGTGTTCTTACAATGGCATTGCTCAGATATTACACGAAGTTCACTTGATGATTTGGACACTTCCCTATGCCTCTCCTGTCTTTGTTGACTTTACTGCTTTTTTGGAAAGTGAGTCAAATTATTGGCCAAAGGTGTGTGCATCAAGCACCTCAGAGAGCAAGCAAATGTATCAGTCTCTTCTTGCAAGCCTGTTAAAGAAAACAATTTAAAGTGCATTCTTGCTTCAATTAGCAAGTTCCTACTTTTGGGAAAATCTTCATTTCCCCCCTGAAATGTACCTTAAAACTCATAGTGAGGCAATGTTCTGAGCTTCAACTTTTTATTGTTCCCCTATTTACAATGGAGTTTTATCTGACAAACCCACCATATATTGAAAATACAGTAAGTCAAACACGCAGTTAACACATGGGTCTTACCAATCGTCATACCTTAGCGACAGTAGAGTATCCGTTGTTTATCTTCCTGGCATAATGATGGGAGCAGTGTTACATGTAGCTAATCTGGGAAAAGACAAAAATTCAAAAGTCAAAGTATGAAATGTGCATTAATTCAGCATCACCATAAAGTCAAAAACTTGTAAGTTGAACCATTGCGGCCATTAGTACTTTGCTTGTAAACATTCATTTCAGAATATTTACTCTGCCAAGTAGATGGTCCCAAAAGTACCCATTATTTTGAAAACCATGCATACTAGAAAAGATCCTGTTAAGAAACCTGCTGCTATCACTTTCTGTTATGATAAAGAGATCTCCTTCCCAGCTTCCTGCATAAACAAGGTGTCTATGAGGCAGAACTGTCTTAGAAAAGAACTCTGTTCTACTGTGAATCTCACAATTATGTTGAGGCTTTGATTTTAATTCCCTGATATCTTCCTTTAATATCATCCTTAACTTTGGAAACATCTCAGAAAAAGGAAGATTAAAAACTTCCTAGTGGGAGACAATAAAATATGGTGTCCAGAGGGCCACCTGGCTGTTCTTGTGTTGAACATTGGTACCATGTGAGAGAGGGGTTGCAGGTCTTTTGACTCCTGAGAGCTGAAACAGAAAAGCATTTTGCCACTCTAGCTACTATAACCAAATGCGTGCAAACTGTATACAGTCCTCCTCTTTTCTTGAACTCGTTTTTTATACTTAGTCATTAAATATACCCTGGTGTTCACATGAAAAGCTTAGGAGACTGGAAATCCAACAGTAAAGCATGTCTGCAACAGCCTAAGTAATATGATCTGCTGATAGTGGATCAATTCTTTTGACACGGGACTGCTGAACACTAGTTCTGACAGCATATGTAGCCGAGCTTTATAGAAAAACAAAAAGTGGATTACTTGGAAGATTGCATATAGTAAGTAATAAAAACCTGAACATCTGGATTTTAGCTTTCGCAGTCAGAACAGTTTGGGATCTGGGATTTTTTTTTTTCTGCTTTTGGCTTCCATGATGGAAGTCTGAGATAAATGAATAAAATATCTGATTAATTACCCTCTACAAATTGTGCTTAAAATTGTAATGAAGTGGGTTAAAAGGAAAACACATCGTTATTCGTTCTCTGCTAGAATCTATACACATTGTTCCTCTGTTCCTCTCTTTCTGTGTGCAACAAGAAAAATAGTGTTCAAAATCACTTTCACAGAGCTTGCCTACATTATTTTGACCCTTGTAAAAATTCAGAGGTACAAAAATCAGATATTATTTCTATTTTACAGATGATAAAACTCTGGTTTATAAAACGTTCAGTGATTCATACACAGCCCAGCAAGGGAATTATGAGAAGGTGCCCCTTTCTCCTGACTGATGCTCTGCAGGGCTCTGGTTTGTCAAGCTGGGTGCAGGGTAGGTTTCGGTCCACACACCCTTGTGCGTGTTTGTCCGTGCACACACTAGTGTCTATGGCAGCTCTGATGAGAAAGCCAGGAAGTGGCAGAACTAGGACCTAAACCCACCCCTCCCAGATCTAGATCCTCCCTTTGTTCCACCCTAGGTGATCCTTAAGATTATATAGCACTCCTTCCTTCCTGCTCTGTTTTCATCTCCTGTTTTGAAGATATTAGAGACTCTTACCAAGAGCTGTCTGTTCTTTTGTCTTTATAGGTTTTGTTCTTCTCCTTGTATATAGTAGAACCTCTTCTCCTGGAATTAGATCTTCAGCAGCAAAGAACTACTTTTTTCCAGCATCTGTTTTGAGGCTGAAGACTTTGCTTCATTTTGTTTTATATCTCATTTCTTTCTCTGTCTCTGTCTCTGTCTCTGTCTCTGTCTCTGTCTGTCTTTATCTCTGTCTCTGTCTCTCTCATTGTCATGGTTATTTTAGGTACAGATTTTCTGGCAAAGTCTCAAACATTCTACTGAAAAGACAATTCCATAAAATTATTCTTCCCTTTTGCTGAAATTCTTAACTGATAATTAATAAGAAACAGATATAAAATCATCTTTTGATAAATCTTTTAGATTTCAGTTGAGCTCTCCAGGACACCGTAACCATTTCTTATCTCACTTTTTGTTCTTCAGCATTTAGGTCTAGAAGTAGGTCGATTATATTCCTTTAAACAAATAAAGAATGAATAAAAATTAATATTTGTTTGCTAAAAGTCTAGAATAGTGACTCTAGGAATATGACTATACTTTGAATATGTCCAGTTATACTGATTTTACTACCTGAAAGTGAACTTTTTAAAAATATATTTGTGATTCTGTTCCTTGAATTTCTTTATATGCTCAATAAATGCATTTAAAGAAATGCTTTGAAATGGAACTTTCCTTTTACAATGTCAACTTTTAATGATTGTATGTGCAGATGTTTTATAATCCACCTTAAATTAATAAAATAATCTTGTCTTTTGTTAAAGGAAAAGTCATTGCTGGTAGGGCTTTGACATTTCATTTTGAAGTTGTTAGGATGTGGTTTATTTATTATTTATTTATTATTTATTTATTTATTATTTCTGTAATTCTTTGTGAACTGTCAGTATCTAATCAAGAACTGAAGCTGTTTAGTAATGGTGTGTGGTACACTTATGTAGGTTTCTCTGTTCTGATCATAACATTCTCTGCCCAGTGTAATGAATAAGATGCTTAACCCAGTATGCATGATCACTTGTTTTAAAGTATTGATTGATTTAATTTTTGTAGACATTTGCCATTGCTGGATTGGGATCTGGACTAACAGAAGCCATCGTGGTTAACCCTTTTGAGGTGGTAAAAGTTGGCTTGCAAGCCAATCGGAACACATTCATAAAGGTAACCATTTGGCATTTTCCTACTGGTAAGGGAATGTAAAAAATGTTTCTTAAATATACAAATAAAATTATAAACTCAGCCACTATCCAGTTATTAAGGACATAGTAAATCACTATTGAAAATAGCTTTACAAAAGTCAACTATCTCCTATGAGGAAAGTGTTAACAAAAATACATTAAGATCTTATGGACAAACACACCTTTATACATTTTTATTTTAGAGTTCTAATGTAAAATACAGTGACATATTTAGAAATGTTTTGATGGCTTTTGGAAAACCTCTCTTTCACATTGCTCTAGAATAGACTGTAGCAAAATCACTAAGGTGATAATATTACTGTGCTTTTTAAAAATGAAGGCAGTTTTTTAAAATTACCTCACTCCTTTCCCTACTCCACCCATAACCTCCCCAAAAGATTCTGATAATCTGTCAAAGTTGTCTTTTCGTTAAATCAGAACGAGCACGTTACTAATCCTGTGAGGACATCACCGTGTGGACGATGATGGACCTTGACATTTAATCACTGGTACACGATGTTCCATGTAGACAGCTTCCCTTGGTCTATGCTGCCTTCACTTCCTTCCAGTTGCCTAATAATTCCCTTTAAACTGCCAAGTCCAACTGCTATTATTTTATTCTTCTGGATGCCAAGCACAAGGTAGGAACAAAACAAAAAGTTGGCATTCGAGGTCCTTTCTTAGCATTTCAACTTAATTGCTCAATGGATAGCATGTGGTATAAATCGATTTAGAGTCTCTCCTCACCTGCATTTTTCTGTAGAAAAGTGCCCCCGCCAACTATTTAAGCAGCTGCTCATGGGTGGAGACCCCCTCACCCTCTCCCCACTTCCTGTTTGCTAATATTGCTTGAGAGCTTCCTGACAGCTTCTTGGGCAGGGGTATGGGGTAGGAGGGGTCTTGCTCACCTGTAGCTGCCAAGACCTGGGATGGGGGGAAGTTGGGGCAGGGTAGGGTTGCCACAGCAGATAGTATCTTTTCAGATGAAATCAATCCTAATTCAGGGAGTTTTTTTTAAGTTTCAAGATGTTTTTCCAACTTCAGAGGAGGTTGAAGAACTTCAGTGTACCTCTAATATTTGTTGATGTTCTAGTCTCTGTTCTTTCTTTAAAAACATGATGTGAGATGGGAGGAAGGCAGGGGAGGAAAAATTATGTTTCAAATGTCCTATCAAGATGGAGCATTTCAAATAGTTTCCATAGAATCTGTCCAAGGAATATTTGGTTTACTATTTGGAGAATTACCAGCTGGGAGAAAATGTTGTTGCATCCAGTATGTCTTTTTACTCATTGGGAAATTCGGCAATGAATGGCAAAGGAATAAGGCTTTCAGTTGCAGGTTTTTGTCTAGGACACAAGTAGGTCAGAGCACCAACAAAACCTCACAACAATGAAAATGGAGTTTTGCATGCCTAATGTACTTTTTCTTTCCTTTGCCCCCAAGGAGGTTCTATGCTGAGTCCAAGTAAGCACTGTTAATGTTGCATGTGCTCGCATCCGGCTGGAATATTACACATAGCATGTCAGTCCAACACAAAAAAGTGTTGCATGTGTATAGGCTTGTGGTTCATTTACACAAGTGCAGTCTGGATAAACTATCTATAGGCTTCAAGACATTTTTAAGTGGGGAATAAAAGGAGCTTGTTTGGGATCATTTCTTTTGCAGAATCAATTAAACTGGATGTTGTCATATACTATATAATAAAAATCTATTAGATGCACTATAAAATATTTTAATATATCTGCAATAAGTCAGAGCCTAGCTTATTGCAAAAAAAAGTCTGAAAAAGAGATACTATGATGAGAATAGAAAATTTGGATCTAATAATGGTCATTTTTTCAGCTGTTTCTTATGCCTTTTGTCCAGGTCCTGTTAATGCTGAAGACTTCCTCCGTTAACTAGTACTTGTTTTTATCCAAAAGAGGATTCCTTTTTATTAATCTATAGCTGTGTGATTTAGTTCAGATAGTAGGTGAACTTGCTTCAGTCTTTGTATGACCAAAGTAATTGTTTCCTTCACTCTAAGACTTTGTAGGTTGACAAATACAAAAAAGAGAAATCATGGAAGAGGAAGGGAAACATGTCATTAATTTAATGGCCATTGCATTTAAAGATTATATTTTCTTTTTATAATGTTTTTATTCAGCTATCAAAGAAATGTATATTTATGCTAGACAACAAAAATAATATATTTCTGTATATACATATTTATAATATAATATATTTCTGTATATACATATTGCGTAAGTGCACAAAACATTATCCAGATTCTAGAGCAGAGCTGGTTCAATAGAAACAATATGAATAACATTTTCTAGTAGGTAGGCTTATTTATGTGATTATTTATGAGTATTTTCAGACAAGGTCTTGCTTTGTAATTCAGGCTGGCCTTGAACTCACTATGTAGCCTAGACTGGCCTCAAAGTATCAGCAATCCTGCCTCAGCCTCCCACATGCTGGAATTACAGATGTGTACCACCATGCCCACATAGCAGCTAGGTTAAAAAACAGGTCAAGTCATTTAATAAGATTTTAATTAACTCAAAATATTTAAAATATTCTTTCTTTGAGGCTTTATCTTTTAGAACAAGTTTAGATTCACAACAAAATTGGAAAAAATACAGAAATTTCTCATAAAAGCCTTTCCCCTGCATACACACTACTTTCCTAATTATCAGCATCCCCTGCCAGATGTACATTTGCAGTATATTTGATACGGCTGATGAACTTACATTGGCATGTCATTATCACCAAACATCCGTAGTTTATACTGGGCTTCCTTCTTGATGCTTTATGTATATAGGCTTGGACAATTTATGACATGAATTCACCACTAAACTATCATACAGAACAATTTCGCTGGCCAAAAAGCCTCTGTGCTGTACATATTCATGTCTCTCATCCTACCACCTGGATCCCTGACAACCACTGATCTGTAACTGTCTCCTTGATTTTCATTTCCACATGTAATCAATACAAAAACTATGGTTTTTCCATACTAAAAATTTTATATGTATTTAATGCTTATAGCACATCACGTCTCAACTAGATTATTTTAAGTAGTAACCACATTGTATAGTGACTTCCATATAAGACAGAGAAGGCCTAGGGACTCCTAGCTCAGGTTACCACTAGAGAGAAGATTGGAAAGGGACTGGGAGAGGTAACAGAAGAGCTTTATATAATTTGAGTGTTTTAACATAAAACATATTTGTGTATTGCCTGTGAACATTTACTTTAAAAAGTAATATCTTCTCACTGTACAAAATTTAGAAAGAACAGAACAGTATAAGGTATATAATCTGTAGAAATGCTTTTAACGCCTCTGCTAGTTTGTGCACCATCTCTGGGGAAACCATTTTCAGCCAATTGAGTGAGGATGACCTCCTGATCCATCTTGGGGCTAGAGCTTTCCTAATTCAGGTTTCATTATTTCATTTATCCTATTAGGAACACTATTTTTGTTTCTGCTCTGTAATCTTTGACAAAGTTTAGTCCTTCTAAAAAAACTTATTAAAGAACACATATAATCCAAGCTACCTAGAGCAGGAAGGCAGTTGAGCAAGCAATATGGGCGCAGGGTTTGGGGAGAAACACACCCAAGTTGCCATCATGTAGTCCACCATTTCCACTTTCTAAGAGCGTGGTCTTGAACGAGGTACCTGTAGGTCCCTCTCTTTGGTAATAAGTGGTGATCAGTCCATCTTCCTTAGCCAGGCATTTCTATATAGTGGGGTTTTCAATTTTTGAGTCATATGGACTCTTGATAAAGCCTTCTTAGCTACTTCGTGCAGAAAGCTGTGAACTAAGCTCATCCTCATCCTTTTCAGTAGACTTCAGCTACCAGTTGTGGTGGCACACTAATTGCATCTGCTACCCAGTATCTCTAAGTTCAACTTCCCTATTATGAGCCACCATGGAGTCCAACATAGGTTCATTTGAATTTTCCTATTTCTTTATCCTGAAGTGGTGAGTCAATATGGTCTTTTAAACATGAAATTTCTCAAGAAGTTGCTACAGCTGAGAAGAGCTGTGCAGTGGAAGACAGCCTAAGAAATCAGTAGTCAATAACGTTTTCTCTTACACTTAACGTTTACTAGGCAATAGTACAGTGATAAAGATGAAACAAAGGACAACCACAGTCTGGCTACGTAGAATATTGTCTAGAAGGAGGTGTGGGATGGGGGAGGATGTCCCTTTGGTCTTGTGGCGAAGATGTCACTGGCAGAGGACAGAATGGAGCCCTGTGAAGTATGAGGCCCTAACCTGGGCATTGGTAGCTGAGGTTCAAGTGCAGCACAGGCTGAGGGCAGAAGCTCCTCCTCTTATGTTCTTGGCAGTGGAGTGATGGGAACTGTAGTCCTGGAGCTTCAAGTGCACTTTGCAACCCACTTCTCAAGCATGGCAGGTACTGCACTGTTCCAGCTACCCTGGCTGTCTTCTCTTGGCCTAGGTTAATCCTGTAGCCAATCCGAAGTATGTTACCCACAAACTGTGCCTTCATACCCACTTTAACCATAAACTATTCCAAAAATTACAAGGAAGTTGTGGTTACTTGGGTTCCTGAAACTGCTCTCACATCCAACTTATATATAAAATATTTCAATAAGTGTGCTTGTTTTGCCTACACTTTTTAAATTATCACTATATTAGTCAAAGACTATAATCCCTGCCACACTTCCTCCAATTCCAATACCAGAAAACTTTGGCCAGCATCTTAACGTTCACAATGAATAAAGAAAACCAGTCTCTAATTTAAATATGCTTGATCTTCTGCGGGGAGCAGAGTAATCACAGTTTTGTCATGCTCGGATTTGGTTCAGTGAGTGTAAAAACATGTTCAGGTAAAATCGGGATAGACCTAAATTTCTCTCCATCCTTCAAACTAAACCCAAGCAAAGAGCTGTTCTAGTTTGTAATCTCCTCGGCTTAGGACTAAGCTTCCCCGAGGTTTTCTCTGTTGGAGATGGTTCACATGTCCAG